GCCCACCGACCAAAGCCAGAGCAGCTTTGAGGAAATCAACACGGTGTCCTACTTACCTATCCCTGAGGAGCGCCTGTCACAGATGCAATGTGAAAGAGCGAAAGACGACACTCTTCAGCTCTTGAAGCACACAATCATCGAGGGCTGGCTGGATGAGTGGAACTCCCTTCCAGAGCAGCTAAAGCCATACTACAGCTATCGTGATGAGTTAGCGATCCAGGATGGTATGATTTTCAGAGACGACAGAGTCGTCATGCCACAAACATTGTGAAAAGACATGAAGCACAAAATCCACTCATCACACTTGGGGACAGATGGATGCCTGAGAAGAGCACGCCTGAGTTTGTTCTGGCCAGGAATGAACAGTGAGAAAAAACACTTCATCAGTACTTGTGATGTTTGTTGCTCAATGGAAACACGACAACAAAATGAGAGCCTGATCTCCCATGATGTCCCATCCACACCATGGGAAAGAGTTGGCACTAATCTGTTTTCCCTCAATGGCAACGACAACCTGATCACAGTAGATTACTACAGCAATTTTTGGGAGGTCGATCACCTTCCAGATACAAGCAGTGCAACCGTCATCCGGAAACTCAAAGGCCATTTCGCTCGCTATGGCACTCCTACACAACTCATCAGTGACAACGGCCGCCAATTTATTTCCACACTCTGTAGCCATTTCTCTAAGGAGTGGGATTTTGAGCACCCAGGAAACAGCAAGACCAACGAGAAAGCCGAATCAGCAAGAAAGACAGCAAAATGCCTCCTTATCAAGATTGCAAAATCACACACCGATCCCTACATGGCACTCTTGGACCACCGTAATACACCAAGACAGGGACTCACATCCAGTCCAGCACAGAGACTCATGAATCGACGCACAAGAACCTTGCTCCCACAACAGCAAACCTACTGAAGCCCAAAGTCATAGATGAGCACAATCGCTTGAAACAACGCTGACAACTACAACAAATTGGCTAAGACCCTCCCCCCACTTGAAGAGGGAGACACGGTTTGCATGCAGCCTCTCATCCAAGGACAGAACGGATGGAAAAAAGCATCACTTGCACGTAGACTTGACGAGCGATCATACATTGTGGAAACCCCCCTGGTAGATATCGGTGCAATTGTGTCCACCTGCGCAAAACAGCAGAAAACCCACCGATGCTGTCAATCACCCCAAGCAGCCAAGTCAGTCGCAAGGATAGAGCAGGATTAACAGAAACTGTGCAGACACCGGAGAAATCTGCCTCTGAGAAAATCAGACCCTCCAAACCCCCAAGCAGGAAACCAGGCACACCCAAGGACAAAACCATGCAGGACCAAAACCAGAACTCTAAGCCAGACTCATGAACCTACCAAAACATGATCGGGACGTTTGGTCACAAAGCCAAAATACCTGAAAGACTATGTACCATGATGCTCTATTTGCAGAGAACACTTTGAACTCTTACTGACTGTTGTGCAATTTCAAAATTCAATGTGACCAAAAAAAATGAACTTTCAAATATAAAATTCATAACAAAAAAAGAGCTTGATTCACCAGAAAGGATGACAGTTTAGCATGTACCTTTTTTTTCAAAAAAGAAACCTTTTCTGTTCTTTACATTTGACATTATCCCCCCAAAAAAGAGAAAAACATTTTTGTTTATTTTGCTTTTGTTTGAAAACAAGGAGAGAAAAAAAAATCTCCTTGGAAAGAAAAATAACCAAATAGGTTGACAAGTGAAAAGCACAAAAACCCAGCATTGGATAAAAGTAATATCCTTTTATAGTGATATTGATTATTTTAATTTTGCACTTTCTGTTTATGACAATGGTATTGCACAACCACATGTGAAACCAAGCCAAATGACCAGTTTTGTAATGCATAAGTAGTGCAGAAATATGCCTCTACACTTTCAAAAAACAATCATGGTCAATACTTTTTTTTCTTTTAAAGAAAGGGGGATGTAGTAGTGGGGAGCATGATGCTCCAGCACACCAATAAAGTGACACGCATGCATCAACGTTGTTCAGTAAGACACGATTGTGTTAAAACTTCCTTGTTCATTTTGCTCTGACTACAGCTAGGATTGGCCCCTCAACCTGAATAGTTTCATGCTCAAGTTCATTTACGTCTGGTAAAGTCTCATGAGCCAGGATTGATTAATCAAGCCTGGATCGTTTGAGGCTCAAGTCCACCTGCTTGTTCATTTCACTCCAACTGAAGCAAGGATTGGTCACTCAATCCTGGATGGTTTGAGGCTCAATTCCACCGGCTGGTACATGTTGCTGAGACTAGAGCTACGGTTGGTCTTTCAAGCCGGATTGCTTGAAGCTCAAATTCACTTAAGTCTCATAAGCGGCTCAAGAGCTTGGACCGGTCACTCAAGTCTGGAAGGGTTTGAGGCTGAAGTCCATTACTGAGATTAGAGCCATGATGGTTATACTCTCACATCCATCAGTTCAAGTTGCTGAGACAAAAGCTAGGATTAGTTATGTAGGCCTGAAAGGTTCAATGTTAAAGTCCACCCCCTGGTGCACATTGGATCCATGAACAAGATACTTCTTTGTCATTTGCCTCAATCCAAACTTGTTCTGAAAGAGTCATGGATGGGGCTCTTTACTGCAATACTAACAGAAATGTAATATAGATGATCACTCTTCTAGTCAGGGATTCACGATGACTTTAAATAAGAAAATGGAACCATAAAAGGCAACAACAGTGAACCCTGAATCGGGAAGACGAATGTGGAATACAGCATTTTGCTGTAAAACAACTGGATAAAATGTGCCAGTAATATTTGAAACTTCACCAGTGAAAGATCAAGCTCATCTTCTGCTTTGACTGAAGTGTGTCAGTCTCTCTCTGATCTTGAAGTCGATGAGGTCAAAATGTGTAAATTTTGCCAACCTTTTTAACACTCTGAATAAACTTTGACGACCAATTTAAGATATGAAATGCATATCTAACTTCCTAATGGTTGAAAGCTACATGTAGGCTAAGGAGGGTACACTTAGGACAAGTTGGAGTGATGACTTAGGTTAATGATAGTTTAATTAATATCACCTGAATGATGGATGGTTTGGAACATCTAGTCAATGGACTGATCTGCATACGAAATCCCAGACTTCAATGCCCCTTCCGAAAGTTTTCCATAACCCTGAATTGGAAAGAAAAGATCAGGATTTCAAAGTTTTACTAGTGACAGCAATAGGATCAACATATTTTTATATAGGATCAATCAACTGATAGCAGAGCAGGATGGAACAATCGCACAGATCCATCAATCACACCAAAACAATGTCTGTACATGTACAACACAGTAGTGCAATCAGACAAGGCCTCCAAAAACTAACATCACACAACATGAGACAGTGCTGCTGTTGACATCCAAGAATCGGATATTCCCCGACTCAAGACTCATTGTTGCTCGTAGTCCCCAGTAGAGTGCTTGAGAAGAAAGCAAGCTAGGGTTGGTGCAGAAGTGGTCTTTTGACAAACCCAAAGGCCACTCCATATACCTCAGGCGAATGCAACAAGGTAAATTATATACCAAGAACAGAGGCATTACTACAAGCCCCCCTGAAGATACTGAGAAAGAAAAAAAAGGGGTGCTTAATAGTCTGTCTTGGTCTTGGTCAGTGTTAACTGACCCCTCAATGAGTGTTCTCCTCTGGAAAATGAGGGCTTCTAATGTGCCCCCCCCACAAAGTTAACCCCATTCACGCCAGTAAGTAAAAAGTGAAAATTCTCACATACCTGTTACCCTCAACTTGCAGAGTCCATTTCAGTGATGTGCTATGATTCCAACAGGTGCCCAATGGTGTCAGTGCCAGGACATTGACTAGTACTGTAGGCAGAGACTAGAGGTGGACGAGTCAGGACACTCAACCATGTCACACTACAGTCAGGCATCAGTGCTGTGAACGTAACAAAACATTCAACATGTGGACATTAACCATTGTTGAATAGAACAATCATACACTTGAGCCTGGTATTACCACGGCTCAAGATATCCTGCTGTGTCCAATTTCCCCCAGTGACTCTGACTAAGAGACATGAAAGCTAGATGAGGCCGTTTTGTGGAACACACTGTGAATGTTGTCCAAAGAGTGCCTGGAATCTGTAAAGTAAAAGTGAAACCGTGAACCTTAGATTAGTGGGAGAGGATTATCTAGTACAACTGGTGCCACACACTATAAGTATCTTGGAGTGTTTGTGTAAGTTTGTCACAAAGGATGGTAATACATCCCATGGTTTGATTTGGGTATGGTCTCTCTGTTGAACAAATGACAAATACCACACAATAAGGAGCAGGTGAAGAAATTCCTTGCGATAAATTTGAAGATTTGAAACAGTGCCCTCACTGGTTTTAGTGACCATGCGCCAACCGGTATAAGCAGTTAATTTCTGGCCAATGCTGCCACCTCACATCAAAAAACTAAAAGCAAATAAAATTTAAAATACAAATAATAATAAAAATATATCCCAGCCTTGATGACTGATCTGCCTTTTGTTCCCTCCTGACCATGATGGTAGTCTCCTTTTTGTTCTTTTCTAAAAAGTGTCCTCCTGGCCTCAATGGTTGGTCTCCCTTTTTGTTCCCTTCCATATACATGTAATATCCTCCTAACCTTGATGACTGGTCTCCCTTTTATCCCTTTCTAAAATATCCTCCCAGCCCTGATGGCTAATCTCCCTTTTATTCCCTCCAAAGAAATGTCCCCCTAACCCTGATGGTTAGTCTTCCTTTTTTTCCTTCCAAAATTATTTTCATAACCTTGATAGTCAGTCTCATTTTTTTTTGCTTCAAACAAATATTCTCATGACCTTGATGATCGGTCTCCTTTTTTGCCAGTAATAAGAGGTTTCCTGGACACACAAGAACTGCAACTGTGAAACTGACTTGTTGGATATAGAGGAGGTTTAATGCACAAGGGCAAAACACTGAAATTGAGTAAAACAAAAAGTGAGAACGAGGTCAGGGGTTGCCAACACAAGAGGGCGCAATCATAACTCCTAGCATGACCTCTTCCTTTTTTTTTGAACAAGGGCTATGTTCCCTGGATTAAATGCTCCTGAAAGTGGCACAGTTCTTGACTGATAACAAGAGGACTGGCATAGGTAGTCAATGAATAAAACACAAGTAAATGAAATAATAAAACTAACTATACTTGGACTAAAGGACCTATTAGGCTACAAAGAAGAAAAAACACACAATGAGGTGAAAAGGACCTACATTGGTGTAGACTATCCTCCAGCCATAGGGATTATTCTGCCCTAACAACTCTGTAGGAAGGCAGATCCTTCACGGATGACTACAAGTATGCACAAATTGGTAGACTAACCAAATTTTGTCACATAATCCTCGAGATACGAGGGTAGTTTGCACTGGCACGAAGAGCAACTTGGGGTTGGAGTTGGGCATGGGGTGCATACATCTTTCTGAGTCTCTGAGAAGGTTGTCAGGTGAGGAGTTGACGAGTTAGGGGAGGCTCAGTAGAGTCGGATGGCTCACACAGTGGATGGCTCGGCAGGTGTTGAGAGTATGGCGGGTATCGCAGGGGGGGTTGGAGCGGCAGGTTCTACAGTGGTGTCAGTCTTATCTTCGCTGTCATCAAGATCTGGAAGACTGGAAGGGTCGGGAACGTAGTCATCAGAGGGGGAGGTGACCTTGTACCATTCTGAGCGTTTCATGCAATAAGAAGTGCTCCTTAGCTGATTGCCAATGAATTTCCGTACATTGCACCACAATCCATCGACAGCTGTCACAAGGTAGCAACTCCGTCCCTTGGTTTTGTTGCGGTCACCGTGAAGGTACACCAGGTCTCCAACAGCGACAACTGTGTGGGGTGCAATTCTGCCCGATAGTGCCTTGGCTTTTACTAAGAGGTTGATTGGTAGAGCAGGAATCATGTTGGTTGAGAATCAGTTACCGGTCGGTAATAGGGATTGGGCTGTTGGTGGACTGGTCGCGTTGATACCACATCTCGCGGGCGGATAATCCACGGGAACATATTGTAGCGAGCACGGCTGGAACATGCGCTGCGCGCGTGATCACCCCTTGTTTACCACGGGTTGCCATGCAACTGGCGCACGAACTGGTCGTGGTGCGGCGCGAAATAAGCTGTGTAAAACACCTTCTGGCTGGCTCTCAACGAAGCAAGACTGCTCTCACGTCCGTGTCCGACCTACACCGCCGCCCCCAAATTGGCTGAGAAAGTTGTAAGTTCCCAAGAAACAGAGACACAATAAATCATTCAAACCCGTAGAATTGTGTGTTGGTAATTATTTCTTCAGTTGTACGTGCCATCTCTGTCCTGTCCTGTCTGTCTACAATCTGCATCGTACCTAATCCAGTGAAACCTTAGGCCGCGTCGAGCACGTTACACTGGTGGCAGCGGTGGGATTGTGTCCCCATGTCCTGGCATGATTGACAGAATTTACCTGAAAAATTACCTCAGAAAGCAGCAGTGGTGTTTACCGAGCTGTGGTAGGGAACAACGGGTGGGCTTTGAGCGGAAGACGGCAGTGGTGTATACCGAGCCGTGACGACGTACATGTACCTTGGGTTGCTTGTCCAGTAAAACGCGGTAGTGGTGCATACCGAACCGCTGTGC